CAAGAGGGCCTCAGGACGGGCCAAGAGGGCCCCACGAGGCCCTCAAGACGGCCCAAGAGGGCCCCGAGACGCCGAAAGATCGCCACAAGACGCCCAAGATCGCCCCCAGATGGTCCAAGAGGCCTCCAAGACGCCCCAAGAGGCCTCCAAGAGGCGTCCGAAGAGGGGCCTCAGAGGAAAAAATCGTGTATTCCCGTGGATTCGGGCAGATGCCATTCTCGCCTTTTTGGCTTCCCGACGCTCCAAGACTCAAGATGCCCCCAAGATCGCCCCATGACGGCCTAAGAGGGCGCTAAGACGGCCCAAGAGAACGCCAATATGACCCAAGAGGCGCCTAAGAAGGCCCAAGAGGACCCCAAGACGGCCCCAGGAGGGGCCCCAGAGGGGGACCACGAACCGAAACTTTGAGCCACGATAGGGCCCCACGAAGCCCCGATAGGGCCCTCAGAAGGCCGAAGAGGCCCCCAACTAAAAGAGGCCCCAAGAGACCCCAAAACGGCCCCAAGAGGCTTCAAAACTGCCTTGAAGAGGCCCCAGGTAGGCATACCACGAGATCCCCACGAAAACTCAAGAGACCTCTACGAAGACTCAAGAGACCTCGGACACACAACCCAGGCAATTACCTGGTACCACTTCAGGCATACAGACATGCTTCAAATGTTACTTGGTCGGTGCCACTTGAGGCACACAGACGACATGCCTCAAGCGGCACTTGCATGGTACCAATTGAGGCATACAGACGATATGCCTCAACTGGCGCTTGGGCGGTACCCTACCAGGAATACAGACCACGCGCCTCAAGTGGTATTTCGTCGGTACCAGGTCATGCATATAGACAGCAAGCCTAAAGTGGTAGTTCCTGGCGCCACTAGACGCATTCAGACGACATGGATCAACTGGTACTTGGTCTGCACAACTGGAGGAATACAGTCGGCATGCCTGAACTGATACACAAACGGTACTACGTGATGCATACAGACGGCATGCCTCAGCACAATGTGCCTCAACCGGTACTTGGTCGGTGCCACTTGAGGCGTACAACATGCCTTAAGTGTTGTTTGACTGGTACCGCTCGAGGCCTGAAGACGACATGCCTCAACTGATACTTCTTTGAAGGACATGCGGCGAATGTTTAGGTGGAGATCTCTCGAAGCCCGCCGCGGTGTCTCTGGGCACATAGGGGGCGTGCCCTCAGGTCCGTGACTCTTTCGGGCCCACGCGTGCCCCAGGACGGGCTAAAGGACCTCAAGCGGCCCTCAAGACAGCCCGAGATGGCCCTGAGACGTCTGAAGTCCGCCCCAGGACATCCAAGATGACCCCAAGACGGTTGACAAAGCCTTCAAGACGCCCCAGGAGGCGTCCAGGCGGCCTCCCGAGCAGGCCCGAAAAAAAAGCCAGAATCACTGCTTGTCCTTAGGCTTTTGAAGGTTTGCAGTCTTCCCGCCCTTTCTGCTCTTCGACGCTCCAAGACAGCCCAAGAGGCCCCCGAGATTGCCCCACGACGGCCCAAACGGCTGCCAAGACGGCCCCAAGACGGCCCAAAAGGGCCCCAAGACGGCCTACGAGGCGCCCAAGACGACCCAAGAGGACCCAACAAGGTCCAAAGAGGGGTCCGAGAGGAGGACCACGAACCGAAAGATCGAGCCCTGCGCCCCGAGGGGGCCATGGGAAACCCCACGAGGGCCCTAAGAGACCAGACGAAGCCCACAGGACGCCCCCACGAAGCCCGAAAGAGGCCCACGTGAGGCCCCGGAGACACCCCAGGCCAGGAGGCACCCCAGGAGGCCCCAAGACGGCCCCCAAGAAGCCCCGCGGAGGCCTCCCGCGACAGCCGAACGAAGACTCAAAAGACAGACGACCCCAACCCAAGCACCGTGGCGATATGGACCGAAGGCCATTGGATGTTTATCTGGAGCGCAGCGGCGGCAACTTGATTACGGTCTGTCTCAAATGTAGGTATTACCCGAGCCATGGACACGCGCGAAGATTGTCCATCAGCTGCTCCTGCCGCCCGACGCGGCACACTAGTGGCAAGTAGGCGGGAATCAAGTGTTACTGAAAAAACTGGGCCGTGGCAGGCGATGCAATCATTGCACTCGCGCTCACTAGAACCGTCCTCAGCATAGTCCTCCTTCACTTCAAACTCCCCATATTCCGTTTCCTACGTGGACCCCTCCTGGGAAAGTTTTCCTGATCCCCATCCCTCTTCTTCGCGCCCTCTTCCTACTACTGCAACAACTCGTTCTCCTGCTCCGCCTCACCCACTCACCCCTCCTCCACCTGCCCGCTCTCCGACCAGGGGGCTCCTTCATTTCCGCAAGCAGCTTGGTGGCGCCCTGCCAGTTCATTGTCGCCTGGTAGGCGGTCATGGCGCATTTGTAGCAGACGAGGTTGGGAATCACCTTGCGAACCTGGGAGGGAAGGAGGACAGAAATCAGCACCGAACCGAGACATCGGATCGGACGCGCGTCGGATCGGGACGCATGCGAACATCGGGCCGCCTCGGGTCGTCGGAATAGATCGGAATCGACTCGCATCGGGCCAGAAGCCTGTGGGTATCTCGGGGGGCCTAGGCCTCTGGGAGGGGAAGGAAGCTCAGGCTGGAGGCAGCTTGGAGATCTGCGACGGGTGGGAAAATCCCCCGAGCAACACCCATCCAGGAAAGGCCACCCGAGAGGGAAGGGGGGCGGGGGGGAAGGGGGGAGGGTGGGGGAGGGGAGGCGGGGGGAGAGGGAGGGGAGGGGGCGGGGGGGGGAGGGGGGAGGGGCAAGCTAGGTGCGCTCGCGTCATATCTTGCGTCCTACCCCTACCCCCCATCACTTTACCATGGCGTAGATTTCCTCTCTATTCGCACACCCGGATGTCGAGCAGGGCAAAGATCGCGAGAGGGTGCATGGCGTAGCATTGCGCAGTGAAAGATTAAATCACACGGCATTGCAACGCAAAGCATGGCATCGCACAACGGTGCAGAACACAACACCGTACAGCATGTCATGGAATGGTGCTGGGTTCCTTGGAAGGTAAGTGGATCGTCTTCGAGAGGTCTGGGCTGGTCTGGAGTCGTGGTTCCACGTCTAGCTTAAGTAGGACGTGTCCCCCTTCAGGCCGATGTTCGATGAAAAATCATACCCCGAAAATGCCAAAACAAAAAAAACAACCAAAGTACTCGAAAAATCGTCCCCAGCCTGTGTTTTACTACTGTTGAATACTCCTACTGTGGAGGGTCACGCCCGACGTAAATCTAGCTCCTTGGGCTCCCCGAAAAGGTCCACACAAGGCGGGGCTGATGGAGAGCACCCGCTGGCTCTGCTTTCAACATCGCCTTCCCAAAACAGAAACGAAGCTCCCGATTGATTTTTCGTAAAAACAACGACGCCCCAAAGGGGGGGGGTTCTGCGGATCAACAAATCAACGAATTGATACCGAATGTGTAGTCACTTCAGATGGTTTTTGCGGGGAGCACTTTCCAATTTTTGGGGGCCTATTGGGAAGGACCGAAAACGCCCGCGCTGCAGCGGGAGATCGACTTGGAACAACCAGAGGCGCAGAAATGGGGACAGCGCTTCAGCGGGAGCAACATTATGCGATATAACTCTTAATAACACATTTGTTTAATAACAACCAAAAACAACAAAACGAAAAAAATTAGCGAAAACCCAACTCCCGGGAATCCTGTGCAAAAAACCATACGCGGAGGGGGCCGGATATCTTCTGGACGTCATCAGGGAGAGAGGAGAGTAGTATTTACATTGTAATTGTCGAAGGTGGGGGAGGGGGGGGGAGGGGGGCGGCGGAAACGCAGCACAATGGTCCACATCCAAATCCAGGCTGGCTGGAAATCGTGACGGGCCATCTCAGCCCCTCAGTCGCCTCAGAAAGTTAGAGGAGGAGAAGCTCTTTCTTGAGACAAGTTAGGTGCATCGAGCCTGCTATTCACGCATGCAGTGCCAGTTAGTGCACAGAGAAAAATTCGACTGTAAAGCTGTCTTCATGATAACTGGCACGCACCAAGGCGCCGCAACCCCACTGACCACACTTCTGCAAAGCATGGATCCAAATGTGGAGCACGCGCAAACGACCACGAAACTACGTGTCCATGCAAATGTGTGCGCCCGTGCAAACGCACACGAGAGGCCTGGCCAACCTCCGGGGAGGGCGTCAGGCTCGGGTAGCGGCGGGCCGGCCGACAGCCACGCCGCACTGCGCTAATGCTGGAGAGCGGTGGACAAAAACATGGGGAGGTGCTGCTCCTCCTCTTGAAGAAGAACAAAAACGCCATAACACACAAACTTTTGGCGCTGCGTGCGGATTGCTCGGATCCGCGCTGGACCCCCCCCTCGGGGCAGCGCCAGAGGCGCCGCCGGGGGGGGGGGGGGCCCAGCGCGGATCCAAGAAATCCGCGCGGAGAGCCAAAAGTTGATGTTTATGTAACATGTTATTCCTCCTCCTCCTCCTCCTCCTCCTCCTCCTCGTCCTCGTCCTCCTCCTCCTCTTCCTCCTCCCCCTCCTCTTCCTCCTCCTCCTACTCTACCTCCTTCTCCTCCTCTGCGTCCTCCTCCTCCTCGTCTCCTCTTCTTCTTCTCCTTGCTCTTTCCTCCTCCTTCCTCCTCCTCCTCCTCCTCCTCCTCCTCCTCCTCCTCTCCTCTCCTCCTCCTCCTCCTCTTCCTCCTCCTCCTCCTCTCCTCCTCCTCCTCCTCCTCCTCCTCCTCCTCCTCCTCCCCCCTCATGATTTCCTGCCGCGTGCCGACGCACAGGATCCAGGGCCAGTCCCCGCCGCAGGCTCAGCGGGCCGCGGCGCCCGATGGGCCCCGCGCCCCGCGCGGCGTGGCGGCCCGCAGGCGGCGCGCTCGGGCCTCGACGGGAGGAGGAAGAGGAGGCGGGGCAGAGAGGAGGGAGGAGGAGGAGGAGGAGGAGGAGGAGGAGGAGGAGGGGGAGGAGGAGGAGGAGGAGGAAAAAGAACGAGCCAGGCACATTAGCCCAGAGCGCACTTTAGCGCTGGAGCGCATGCCTGTGTAAAGTTGCGCATATGGAAAGATCTGGTCGCCGCAGACACTGGTTAGTGAAAAGGCCTAGAACCACTGAAGGAAAAAGAAGGCGGTCGAGGGCGGTGGAAGGAGGTAGCACCCCCGTACCCTGCACCCTACATCCGAAACGGTCATGGCACCGGCCCCGACCCCCTCAAGCACAGAAACAACGCAACGAGTTCTAGCAGCCTGGAACGATCGCCCCGCTGGCCACCGAACCAAAAACCGTGCTCGTGGGAGCTCGGCGAGAAAAGTCTGCACAGGACATGGTCGCGAGCCAGCTGGCAGACAGGCAGTGGGTCAGTCGCTCTTATGGAGAGCAGTCGCCTGCCAGTCTGTCAGGGTCCGCCGTGCCGCCGAGGAGGGCGATCTCGCCCTCGAGCCCAGCGAGGACCCGCTCGTAGTGGCCGAGGATCGCCCCCGAGCCGCCCTGCAGCTTCTTCCTGCGCCGGATGGTGGCCTTCAGCTTCGTCGCCTGTTGGTGGCCACATGTGAATCCTACAGTAGGAGCTCGACCACAAGAGACCTTCCACAAAAAACCCAACCCTGAGACCCCGCGGCGTCACCATGGATTTTCGGTGCGGGACCGTCACGCCTTCCGTGGCAAAACCACCGAAACCCAAGAAGCCCAGGGCACCTGGAGGCATGCTGGGTGTTTGTTGGCACGGGTTCCCACTGCACCCCCCCCCACACACACACACACACACACACACACACACACACACACACACACACACACACACACACACACACACCACGACTTCTAAGGGGTGGTGGGGGTTCACTTCGCTCGGGAGGAACTGAGTGAGCCCCCACCCCACCACCCTAGAATCGTTGGGGGGGGGTAGGGTTGGGTCGGGCATGTCCTCATTCAGGCGGCCGTTGGACGAAACAGAACAAGTAAATAGTCCGATCGATGCTCAAAATTGTCAAAAATTGTCTCACACACACAACAACAACAACAACAACAACAACAACAATCATTTTACCCGAACGCGTGGTGTTCTCCCCAGTGCCAGGGTTTTCATACGACACCAGGCAATACCCCCACTTCGTGGGGGGGCATTACAAGCTCTACCAAATATCCAAACGACTCTTCGCGACCACCCAAACCCAGCTTCCCGCCCTATGACGTTGGGACACTTCACTTCGTGGCGTGCGGACGACCGTGGCTACTACACTGGCGTGGGGTACACACCCACAGAACTTGGTCACTTATTCAGAACTTATGGCGCAACCGCAAGGGATTATGGCCCCTGGCAGGCGCGCGAACCCCGTTGCAAGAGCGTGCGAAAGTAGCTCGCGCGAGCTCATGTAACATAAATGTTGGAAAACCATTGGTTGTTTTAGGATTCGGACAGCGCGCGCGGGTGGAAATTTTGAAAAGTCGTGCAGGTGTTTTTCGAGGACCTACGGTGCGATTCGTGTGATTTTATGATGCGCGGTGCTAAAATTCTTAAGAACCCAATGGTTTTTGGAGATTTCGGCGTGCGCGCGCGAAGAAAAAACGAATGTGTCCCGCATGGTATTATTTGACAGGGATGATGGCCCTGGCAGGTGCGCAACCGTTGTCGCAGAAGTTCGAAAAAGTTGCTCGCAAAAGCCCGTTTGACAGAAATGTTTAAAAAGTGTTGGTTTTCCTACGAATCCGCAAGAGCGCGCGGGATGAGATTTTGACATTTTTTTGTTGAAAAACCATTGGTTTTTTGATGTTTTTATGTTAAAATCGCTCCGAACACTAAGCTTTTGGAAGGATTTCGTCTTGCGCGCGCGAATGTCCACTTTACCTTATTTTTTGCAAGGGATTCTTGAAATTTGATTATATTAGAACAAGAAATGTCATTTTATAGTGTTTTTTGCAAGGGAAAGCGGGGGGGAACAAAACAACCGGATCTTGATCACATCGAATTACCTGAGGCTTCCTCACGAAAATGATGAAAATGTAGCTGCGGCCTAGGCGGCGCAGGGGGGCCGTGCACCAGGGGTCCCAACAATAATTATTCTTTAGAATTAATAATGTTCAACAACAACAACAACAACAACAACAAAAACTAAAAACATAAAAAAAGGGATTGTGGGGGTGCGTTTTTGGGCTCCCATCGTCGCTTTCCTCTTCGGTTGCTTCTCCCATATATCTGTCTGTGTTCCTTCGCTGCTACTTCTCTCCCGCTCGTCATGGATCGCAGAAGTGGCCTGAGCGTACGGACTACCACATGATACTCAAATCCAATCCCCTCCCCGTCTCCTTCATCCGTCCCCTCTCCTTCCTCTTTCCTTCTGCGTCTCCATTCAATTCCCGTATATGTTTCTTTTCCCTTCCCTCATGCTCCCCATCTCGCCCTCCTGTTCTTTTCTCCGTCATGTCTCCCTGCCCTCGCTAACTCCTTCCTCGTCTCCCCTTCCCGTCTTTTCTTCGTGCCTCCCCCCGTCCACCGCCTACCCACCTCCATCTTCTATCCCTGCCTCTCCCTCCCAT